ACTTTCATTTGTACAGAGGCTCACAATTAAGAGCTTGCCTTCGATCTCAGACTTGGGACTCGGACTTTTTGGCAAGGCTGGCATTATTAGGACTTTGGCAACTCTTAGAAATAGACTGAAATGCCTTCTGCATAAAGGGCTGTCCTACCAAGAGCAGAATGTTCTGGTTTGTGTCCAGTTGCCCCCCACAGCCTCATGCAGTTGTGGGCGGACTTCCAGGTTTCGTGATTGATGGGTGTGCACGCTGCACCCGGCCCGGGGGGTCAGTGGGGGCAGACAGCGGGGGCGGACAGTGGGGGCAGAGCACTAGAGGCGCTTCTGCTGCTCCTCCCTCTCGCGCTTGCTCTTTCTGCTGCCATGAACTGCTGCCCTCTGCCAGGCGCCAGTCTGCATTAGAGCCAGCTGAGTATGGACTGAAACTCCCACAACTGTAGCTAAATACACATTTCCTTCCCTTGATTTTGAGTGTTGGGTATTCTGTCCCAGAAACAAGGAAAAAGTAACTAGACAGAACACCCCAAATGGCAAGTTAGGAAAATCAATCGAGGGTTTATACAATCACAAAGAACCATTTTAACACCCGCACTGGGAATCAGTGCTTGAGCAAGGCTGGCACTGGCAGCTGCGTCTAAGAACACGAAGCAGGAGCCTGCTCTGCAGGACGCGCCCTGCTCGGCCGAAGCGAGCCCGGTGTGCTGCGCCCGCAGGACTCCGCAGTGACAGGCGTCCCGCCGTGTGCTGGGGCCAGAACCATTTCACCCTCACGTGGCCCAAAACACGGCACACAGAACACTGCTCGACATCCAGATGGAGTTGCCAAAAACAATCTATACAGCTTGAGTGTAAGGATGGACTTTATTTTTAAAAAAAAGTCTTTTGAGGGCTACAAATTACAAAGGAAAGCAGAGCACGATGTAGAAATATAGTGAATACACTTTTGCGGTGCAGGAAAACTTAATCCAAGTTACTCAGTGAACAACTTCATTCCACTCACAATGTGATCAGTCCTAATGCTCTCCAGGTCCTGGGACCTTTATTTTCAATTACATCACATGTTC